CCACTACCGCTACCGACAGACGACATCATGGACTTGCTAAACATTTGCCTAACGTCTACTTACTTTCAGTACAACGGTAAACACTACAAACAGTTACACGGCACTGCCATGGGGTCTCCAGTTTCTGTTGTTATAGCAGAAATTGTGATGCAGAACATCGAGGAACGCGCCCTTTCGACTTGCCGACAAACGATACCGCTTTGGTTACGTTACGTTGACGACACATTCACCGCCGTTCGACAAGACGAAATTGACGCATTCCGCAACCACCTTAACGAACAAAACACTGACATACAGTTTACCAGAAAAGTCGAAGAAAATGGCAAACTTCCCTTTCTAGACTGCCTGGTAAGCCACAACGACAACTCATTACGGACGACAGTTTACAGGAAACCGACACACTCGAGACACACACCGACAGATTACTAGACGAGTCATCCTACAACCCAACATCACACGAAGCCACAGCTATCAGAACTCTCACACGACGTGCACAACTAGTATGCGACTCGACAGACAGCTTATCCGACGAGAACAAATACCTTCACCGTGTTTACCTTCACCGTAACATTAAGAAATGGTTAGATATTCTTCAATATTCTCCCATACATTCCTTTATATTTCGAATAAACAACCAGACTCGTCGCTTGTCTGGGTCCCCTGTGTACAAACATTAGGCAATAAGTAACCTAACACAACTTCCGCTCAAAGAATAATTTGAATACTTTACAATTTTATTACAAAGCGGTTTTCCTGTGCATTTTTTTCTTCAAAAAAAATCACCAATGATCCCGAAGAGTAAGATTTAGCTTAAACTATGAACAAGGGAAGACAAACTGACTGACCGAGTAACAGTCGCATTTCAGCTACACTACTCAATAGACACTGATATAGTGAACCATTAGGTTTATTTTGCATGTTTCGGCCGAGCACCAGCGTACAATAATGAAGAAACACATAGAGGCCAAAGAAAGGGCTTGAAGAAGTAGACAATTGCCTAGGAGCTAAAAGCCTAAGGATTTAGAGACTGAAATTCTAGATGCAATATCATCTTTAACATAGCCGTCCTTGGCTGAAAAACTCTTCCATCGCCCATGCCTCTGAAAAACGCGATCACCCACTCCACTATTGGCAGCCTTGGAAGCCCCACCTGACCTAAACGACTGGGTGCCATAAACAGAAGGGTCAGTTACTACACTACGTAAACTCTTTGATAAATGATCTCTGAAGGTAGAATAACTATTTGGCTTGTCTTTGTTAACCATCTTATAAGACGACTTGGTCTTGACCAACTCCCTGAAAATTAACTCATCCACATGAGGATCAATGTTCAACCTACTCAAGAAGAATGGAAACTGGACAAGCGCTGCCCCCTGAACTCGCGATAGCAACTTCATCTCCTTGCCTAAGCTGATCAGTTTTACTCTTCTCAACCTTAATTATCCTGTGGTCTTCAAGAAACTTAATAGATTTCTTCTTATTCTTGTAACTTCCTCCGACCTAAAAAATCCTGCATAACAAAGCACATAAAGACATACATTTCTAAGTTGAAGGGTATTGGACAAATCAGAACCATCGATTATATCCTTGAGGATTTCAATGGAAAGAGGTTCTTTTCTATTACCCCTATTAGTGCCTAAAATTCTCTTGGCGGCATCCCGCACCCTGTTAACTAAAGGGTTATCCGTTGAGGATACAAGACCCGCTGACTCGTGAGCCCACTTGATACTATAAAAAGCAGTATCAACAGAGGCAATCGATCTGGTGGATTCTAAAACATGTCGTAAATAAACAGCAACGTGCATAGGATTAGCAGGGAAATACGACAGCTCCTGCTTGCGCAGTGCGAATTCCTTCCACTTCCTAAAGGCTCTGTCATACATGTTTACCGTCCTAGGAGCCCTCGCTAACAAAATGGTCGTCTGGAGCCTGGAGCTAAGGGACTGTAAATCTGGATCCTTAAACGAAGTATCTTTCCAGAGGCCCTCTTGGAAAATCTCTATACAGAAAAAGATATCACAAAACAAAGGAGAAATCAGAAGCAACAAGATAACTTTATTGTGGGTATTAAAGTAACTAACAAATCTGAAAATAAAGCTGCTCGCATTTAATAGAATTCTGAGGAACTCCTGCAAATAATAACAAACAAATAATGGCAAACGTGAATTCAGACCGTGGAGTAGCAAAAAGACTCCACTAACTGTGTACAAAAGACGCTAGCTGTTGCGACATATAGAACAACAGCCACTGTCATGAGTGCAAAATCCTTCTTGATTTCTCCTCTCAGGCAACTTGAAACTAATACGCAGTGCGACAACTGCAAAAGACAAATCTCTTGCACCAAACATGTCATTCTTAGCTTTACCTCTCACAAAGAGTTGCTTAAATTTGGGCAGGACAAGCCAATCATGAACAAACGAGTTCCAGTGTCTTCCATCATTACACAATAATACCCAAAAATACGAAGACTTCCACATAGGAATAACAAGCGTACCCTCTGCATTACGCAACTTCAAATGATCAACCACTCTCGCAATTTGCGAAACTGGAGGGAGTAACCAATTGTTTTCAAACTCCCA